CCTAATTAAGTGCCTATACGTTACTAATCTTGGGAAATATGCTTGCTTGTAGTGTTTACTCAAACACTTCATAAGAGTGATCTAGAAGTTCAAGATGTTCTCAAAAACTAAAATAAACTTTTTATTTGATTTTGATTCTTAAAATGTACTATGACTAATTATACAGCTGGGAAAATCAGCAAAAGGGTTTTTTGTTGTTTAAAAATGTGTAAGACATAATGTCAAAACTCCTTTTCAAGACATTGCCTTGGGATCAACTTTGTGTTGCTAGGGAAATAAACCAATATTGCCCCACGTCTGAGGATATCAGTCTGCTGAAACAGCAGGGTAGGTAGGTCTTCACCAGTCTTTCTATGCCATCAGCCATTTTCTTTCCTCTTATGAATGGGTTCCCTCCACAATGTTAAATATTATCTATGTGGTATATATGATTCCAAAATCTATAGTCACATCTCTAACTGTTTTCCAGAGTGCCAGATTTATTATTTCAGCTGTCTACTGGATACCACCTCTTGGTTGCCCTGCAGTCCCCTCAAACTTATCATATTCCAAACTTTAACCATTACTTTATCTACATATTTATTTTGTCTTCCCTGCCATCTCTAACTGCACCAACATTCACCATCAATGTCAACCTCACCCCTCTTCTTCAGTCCCATAGCAAACAGCCTCAAGTTCTAAGAATTGGAATAAAAACATGTCTCTTGAAGAGATATCACCATTGTTCAGGACTTACCTCTATAGCGTAGAATTGTCTTTGAGCAAACTCATATGGTTTTATTACCACTATTCTATTTTCAATCTTTTATTTGTCCATTATGCTTAAAAAATATTATACTCATTACTTTTTAACTATTACATTTATACTCCTTGACACAAGAAAAGACCTTTCAAAGGTAACCACAACCTTTTCTGGTAGGCTCACTGAATACTCTTTTTTCTAACAAAACAGAATCTACTGTTATTTTTAAATCACACAATATTTTGTTATAATTCTATAGAACCCTTTATATAGCTCTTATTCAATAATAGTTCCTTGGGTTTCTACTTTAATTGGAAAGTTCCTAATCACGTTAATATTTCAAATTATAAGGCGACTTCTTTATTAAATTCTTTCCAACTTTCTCATTTACAGTTTCAATGTGATTCCATAAAGCATGGCCATAATTTCAATACAGAATCTTCTTGGTATCAACTGGCGTTGCAGTTTATGTTTACATATCCTGCTGAGTGGATGGTGAAATATTCTTGGGAAAGAAACGGTCTTATTTATCTGTTTATCACCGGGATGTCATTCTATACTAAGTCTCCTTCAACATGCATTCTCATGGTACTCTACAGTTCCTCCCTCTGTAGCACTTATCATGACTGTAATGAAATAATTAACTGCAGTTAGTTAATCTCTGTCTTTCCTGATAGAATGATAACGTAACAATTTGCATTCACCTTTTCATGCTCACCACCTACAACAATGTTGGGAGATAACAGGTACCAATATAAACGTCCTAGATGTTTGAGCAGATAGAGGTATTCCTATAGCAGTGAACACCAATAACCTAGATAGCATTGAACCTGTCAAGTGATGATGATATCACATCGGTTTTCTCTCGTATGTCTCTCAGCTCAGAAGAATCCTGTTGAGAATATATAATCACAGTACCTTAATCCATGTCCTTGTTTCTCGTATATGAAGATATTCTTTGTTTCCTTTTTTTCTTTTTTTTTTTTGAGTTGCAGTCTCACTCTGTTGCCCAGACTGGAGTGCAGTGGCCGCTCCAGGCCACCGCAGCCTCGACCTGCTGGGCTCCGGCGATCCTTCCGCCTCAGCCTTCCAAGTAGCCGGAATTACAGGCATGCGCCACCACGCCCGGCTGATTTTTTTATTTATTGTAGAGATGAGGTCTCGCTGCCCAGGGGGGTCTCGAACCCGCAGGCTCAGGCAATCCACTCACCTCAGCCTCCCAAAGGCGCGGAATTACAGGCTGAGCCACTGAGCCCGGCAAGTCTTTGTTTTCATTTAATTTATGGTTGTTAAAAAATTCTTTGCAACCACTTACGGAGTGGCCCATGAAAATTAATGACTTTTCCTGATACTGTATTTTTCCTATCTATAAAGTAATGATAAATAGCAAATTCCAAATGGCATTTTCTGAGGTTTAAATGAGACACTGTAAATACCAGACGCGGTCTCTCCAAGTTGCCCGGATTGAGTGCTGCATATTAAATAATCGGTAAATTTCCTCCCTCCTCTATATTACCTCCATTCCTTCATTCTTTCTCTCCCTCTTTTCTCTCCTTTAGGCCTTCTTTGCTTCCTTCCTTCCCGCCTTCATTCTTTCCTTCCTTGCTTTTTTCCTTTCTTTCCTTCTTTTCACCTGTTCTTTTCTTCCTTTTTTCTCTTATCTAATAGAAGATTTTTTTTTTTTTTTTTTGAGTTGGAGTCTCACTTTTGTTGCCCAGGCTGGAGTGCAGAGGCACCCTCACGGCCACAGTAGTCAAGGCCAAGGCCTGCTGGGCTCAGGCGATCCTTCCACCTCAGCCTTCCAGTTAACTGGAACTACAGGTGCACGCCACCACGCCAGACTAGTTTTTGTGATTTACTGCAGAGACGAGGTCTCACCAAGTTGCCCAGGCTGATCTCGAACCCCCGGGCTCAGGCAATACGTTCGCCTCGGCCTCCCAAAGTGCTGGGATTACAGGCTGAGCCACCACTCCCGGCCAGAAGATAAATATAAATATTTTTTCTTTTTTCTTGGAGTTGGAGTTGGAATCTCACTTTGTCGCCCAGACTGGAGTGCAGTGGCACACTCACGGCCACCCCAGTGTCTACCTGCTGGGCTCTGCAGGTCTGTCCACCTCAGCCTTCCAAGTAGCTAGAACTACAGGCACGCACAACCACGCCCAGTCGGCTATTTTTTTATTTATAGTAGAGATGGGGTCTCTCCAAGTTGCCCGGAGTGGTCTCAAACCCACGGGCTCGGGCAATTCACTTACCTTGGCCTCCCAAAATGCTGGGATTACAGGCTGAGCCACCGAGCCTGGCCAAGATAAATATTTTTAAAGAATTGTGTTTTATTCATCTTATTATCTCTGGAATCTAGTGTTTTTGCTGATGTATGTTAAATACTCACTAGATATTGTTGGATTCATATCTGAATTTTCTGATATTAGGGTCCATTAATCTAAGGACCATGTTAATTAAATAAAATTATTTAAGAGAATTCAATATTTGAAGAGAGAGCTATCGTGAAAATATGCCTGTTTCCAAAATAATTTAAAAGAAGGGTGTACAACATACATTTTTGTTAATAATAAACTGCCTTAACGAAGATCAATAGTCATTTACTCAGCATAAAAGTTTTCCATTTGGAAAAATAAAAATACTTTAGAGAAGTTTCACTACTTTAGATTTTTCAGAATTGAGGATAAAGAATTGGTTGCTTTGATTTATAAGCAATCTGCCCGTGGTGCTATTTGTTTTCATGTTGGAGAGTGAGAGCTGGGGAATTTATCTTATGAGTATGAAGAGGGAAGTTGCATCGTAGTTCTGAAAGTGTCTATCGGCTATCTAGTCAAAAACAGAGACTAACAGTTTGAGGTTCCAATGGAAGGAAATTAAACCTTAAAATTGGCAGAGCAGGCAAACAATTAAAGATTAGCTTTTAAGAGAGTTGGCTTTTATGCGGGGTTAGAGGAAAGACAGACAAAAACAAAAGACCTAAGTGGGAACAAGAAAGAGAGCAATGTCTCAAATCTCATGAACACAATTCTGCACTGGAATCTGAAGTGTGGTCAATGAGGAACCTCTATTCTTCACCTTCCCTGGACCTCATGGTTGCCTGTGTTTTACCCCTCCCATTACAGCTACTCAGCTGTTATATCATAATTGGTTTTATTGTTCTTTCCTTTGTATTTATTTGTTGTTGCAGGACTATTTCTAAAAGACTAAAGTCAATTTCTGTCTTTCTTTACCCAGTGTAACTTTCTTTAAGCCATATGCATTATCTCCATCAATACTTCACATAAGAAGGAAGTCTACAAAAAGAAAAAAGAAGAAGAAGGAAAGACAAAACAAATGGGAGAACTAAAACACTGGGGCCTTTATCAAGAATCTGCCAGTTTCTTCGACATGGTTCATGTGCTTTCAAAAATGTTTTGCAATCAAAATTATGATAAAGACCTTTCTCTTTTTTTGCCAAGAAGTGGTGTCGTGTGTGTGTGTGTGTGTGTGTGTGTGTGTGTGTGTGTAGCTCTTTTCTTTCATTTTTTTTTTCCTTTTTATATTTAGGGTAGGAAAAAAGACATTGAACACTGTAAAAACACCTCACTCAGAAAATCACATTGAATGTTAAACACAGATCAGCGTTTTAATCTGAATTCTGTATTATGAAATTATAAGAGAATAATTTAACAGTTTCAGTTATCTGCAGAGTAAGCCTAGATTGAGATATGTTTGCATCGATGTTTTGGCAACATCAATAATACTACTTCTCTCCGAGGCCTGAAAAAATTACTTTAGGGGAAATTGGTATGGTAATAGCTTTGTGGAGAGGTATTTTGCTTCCAAGTGCTAATTCCTATGCAGTAATAAATACTTATGATACTGTGGTCAACTTTGTGAGTGAAGTACTAGAGTAAACTAATAAGCTCCTAAGTGTCACACAACTGCTTTCTTTGTTCTTCTCCTTCTTCCTGTCCAGCCTGTTCTGCTGATTCCAAAAACAGAGCAGTGTCCGGTGAACTTAAGCAGGAAGTTTTATATAAAGTGATACCTTCTGGAAAAGTAATAGGAGAGGTGATAATGTGATTGGTGGATCCCATGGTACTCGTTCCAAAAAGTAATTGATCTCCCATTGTGTATGCCTATAAAAGAAACTACAGGCAGATGTAGAGCAGAAGGAAGGAAAGAAAGTAAAAAAGCCAACACAGTTGATTTCTAGTGACAGAGAGATTGAGATAAAGAGAGAAAAACATTTTTAGCGTTCAGGCATTGAGATAAAATGGTTCCTATTATTCTGCTGAGCACCTTTTTGCTTCATTTTGCTGCTGCTGTGGCTTCAGAACCGTAAGGAAGTGTTATACTCTCTACTTATATCAAAGTACTCATAAAAATTACCTTACTAAATATGTTTCATGTTAAAATTTTACCATTTCAACTTCTGAGACTGAGTGCTGGTTTTCCCTATACATTTTAAGAATTAAAAAGGAAATTGATGTCTTTTTCTTAAGATACTTCTCTCTGTTTTCCCATTTATTGTACTACTGTCTATGAAAAATGTGTGTTTCAGGAGTATTTCAATAAGCTAAAATTGATTTTTGTAGAGATTCTCTATTTTCCCCATACTTGTTAAGAGTGTTGCTTACTTTCTTTGCATAGGCAATATATCCTGTGGGTCTCCTCTGTGATGCAGAGTCATTTTACAGAAAAAGCTTGTCTCCACCTCTTAAACCTGAATGAATCTGTATCCTTGAGTGTTGTCTTAGAATATGATGGATCCAATACCACTATTTTTGACCAGTTTGTGGAAGAGGATATCTTCTATGCTTGTGCAAATTTCAAGGTGAGGCACTAAACTTGACATTTCAGAACTTCACATGGAAGGATAAAACTAATTTTTAAACATTATTTTTAGAGAAATAACAAATCTTGATTTTGGATGAATTGTGGAAGGTAAGGAGGAAAAATTGAGAATTCTTGAGAGGAAAGAAATAAAAGGAAAGTTTGAACATGCAACAAAAACTCTTCTATTATAAAGCGTAATAATGAGATAATCACTGCTTTTTAGACAATAAAATTGTTCCACAATGTGGGGAAAGAGAAGAGACTGTAAAAGGAATAAGGGTTGGGACTCAGGGCAACAAAAAACAAAAATAAAAGGCAAGAAGGCATAAAAATAAGTTTAGAAGAAATCATCCTCATGCCAAATAAAAGAACTGTAACAAGTGATCACCCTCTTATTAGGAAATAATGGGTTTACAAGTCTCTTTTAGTCTCAGAAACCAAATGAAGACTTTGTTCACCATCCTAACATCTAAGAATAATTTTCCCATTCTCTGCTCTTTCACATAAACAGGTCTCTCAGAAGTCCTCTGAACAACTGGCATTTGTGACCTTGTTGGCTAAGGGAGACACTCTTGAAATCTCTGAGAGAAGATCTGTAGTAATCACTTCAGAGGAGACAGTAACCTTCATACAGACAGATAAGTCCATTTATAAATCTGGAGAGAATGGTAAGTTAATATTTGTGTTTCACTTGTATCATTAACTTCAAAGATGCATTCTCCAAATCAAGAGCAATTCAAACACATGAATTTTAGTCTTAAGTTTATCCTTAACATCATGGGATTGTGAATTTCTAGAATTCTTATTGGTTGTCCAGATCAATTATGAAATAGTACCCTCCAATTCCAGTAACTGGATGTTTTGCTTCATAAAATTTTGCATGCCATCTTCATTGTTTACACGTTGTAGTACTGGCCTGTATAATACAATTGCTACAAGCGTGGGATGTGGAGGACAATTGTTTGATTTGAATCGTCGCTCAATAATTTACCAATTGGGCAAGCTAATTAACCCGCTTTTTTAGGCTAATTATTTCATCTTATAAAAATTGTTGTGAGAATAAAATAAGATAGCCAATGTAAACTTGAGCCAAGTGCATAGTAATGACCCTGTATATGATTCATATTATCATTATTATTCATAGTAGTTGAAGTAATCATAAATCTGATAACATAGAAAGTCCTTCCATTTTCTTTATTACTGCTGTAAGTAAAAGGTAACAGAAAGAACATCAAACTAGGATTCAGAGACCTTAGTTTGGTCTCAGTTCTATCAATAAATTATTGACTTTTGCCAAGTAAGTTCTAATCTTTTGTACTTAGTTTTCTCATTTGTATAATTAAAGGATTTGGTGAAAGCATCTATCCATTTTGTTCTAATTAATATAATATGTTTCTATAATTTATTAAAAATAAATAAAATAAAGTCAGAATTCTTATAGTGAGATTTTTACTGAATTATATTCTCTTTTCTGGATTTACTAAAATGCTATGATGACAGTTATGTATAGAAAAGTAGTTTAAACAGTTTTTCTGGAGTTATGCAAAAATTAATGTAATGTTTGCTAGCATCAATATATTTTTCCAGGAAAATTATATTTGTCTCCTACCATACGTATTTCACATTTGTTTTTCTATGACTAATTCTGTGACCAATTCTGAAGATATCACTGTGGACTGTTAGGGTAAAAGTTTCCAGTAGTGGTATCTGCTAGTGTCAGCCTTAGTCACAGCAGAGCATCATAAATAGAGAAATCACAAATGTGCAATAATGTGTAAAGGATAAAGTCAGAGTCAGGTGAGAAGGGAGCATGATATTTCATGGTAGCAAGGCAATTAATTTCTATGTCTATTTATAAGCAATCATACCTGGGAGGAAAATAACAAATAAATATATTGTGTCTATATCTATATATATCCTCTTCTTTATTATTTTTTTAGTTCAATTTCGCATTGTGACACTGGATACTAAGCTCAAGCCTATTGAAGAGTTGGTGAGTTTAATATTTTCTAATGGTGCAATGAGCTTTACATTAATTAAACCTATTATTATACAAAGTGTCTTCAGGAAGCCTTCCATATGAATGAAAATAAGATTTCAACATGAAGAATATATAGGTACAGCTTCAAAACTGACCTCACATTTACATGTAAACATTTCATTTATAGTGAGTTGGTTATACATTTTTCAGGTCTTTTCAATTATTTAAAGGAAACATAGGTTGCATGGAACCTGCTTCCTACTTCCCAGAAAAAATGTGGGATTTATTTCACATTTTCTTGACATCTTCAGCTGGAGAAGCTTTGTTTTCTGAGAGTGAGAGCTAAGTTCCAAATATAATAATCATATTGCCTGTAATCCCGCACCTTGGGAGACTGAGGTGAGTGGATTGACTGAGCCCGCGGGTTCGAGACCCACCTGGGCAACTTGGTGACACCTCATCTCTACAAATAAATCAAAAATTAGCCGGGCGTGGTAGTGCACACCTGTAGTTCCAGCTACTTGGAAGGCTGAGGCAGAAGGATCACCAGAGCCCAGCAGGTCGAGGCTGCGGTGGCCGGGAGCAGCCACTGCACTCCAGTCTGGGCGACAGAGTGAAACTCCAATTCAAAAAAAAAAAAGAGAGAGAGAAAAAATATTATAATTCAATATTTGGTGAAAAGAAGAATGTACTATTACAGTATTAATCTGCATTTTTTTTCCTCTTTCAGTATCCTTTAATCACAATTCAGGTAAGAGATTTGCTTTCCACATTCATTTCTTATACTACTAGATGAAGATGTTGTGTTTTTATTTTTTATTTTTCATGCTTGGAAATTAAGATGACCAAAATTAGAAGGAGTCTTTATGTGCATAAACAGTATAATGCATTAGTGAAGATTTAAAGGGCTGTGGTTTTTAGTGTAGGCTGTGTAGCAAATGCAATATCTTGATTTTTCAGAAAATAAAAGACTGAGCTCTCTCTAAGGGATGTTTTATGTTTGAAATTGCTTAATTTTGGCTTCTGGTACTTCTCAGTCTTAATTTAGTCACATCTTGTTTTAAGGAAATAGAAAACGCAAACATCTAAAAGTTAAGAAATGCAAAAAGGTGAAATTGTAAAATGGACTTTTTGCTTTCAAAAAATAGAGTCTCCTCCTACCAGTTCCAGTCTCTGGAGTAGTACAGTCTTCAGACTTATTTGAAGTTGTATGTCTATCGGTAAATAAATTATATCAAACAACTGCAACATATATGTTTTAATCTCTACATCATATAATATATGCCATTATTGTTAGCTAATTCTGATAATTAATGCACAGAGATCTACGGTCATCATTATGTGTGTAAATATATACTTCAGACAGTCTTTTTCATAATTCACACTCTCGTGACTTTCTTATTTGGGTGAAAAATAGCTCATCTTTATAGTAGAATAAATATTATGCCAGCTAGTTATTTTCATGTTTTGCACCTTATTGGTAATCTATATATGGTATTAGCTTTACATCCTGATTCAAATAGTATTGTGTTATATTGAAAGTAACAGAAGCTTAACAATCAGTAACGTAAATGAGTAAAGATTTGTTTTCACAAACCACTACGTCTGAGTGTAGGCACTTCAGGGTTAGAACAACAATATTACCAACAACCCAGGTTTCTACTTAACTTCTGCCATCCTATATGTGTGATTTTATTTTTAGTGCCAGACTTATGTAAACTGCAATATCCTGAAAGTAAATAAAGGAGAAAGAGTGGCATTATCACCCTTTTTTGCACCTATTGGTATGAGTCCACTCTATTTTGGAGCATGCACATAAAGTTTTTAATTCTTTAATTATGTAACTCTGGTTCAGAAAGATCAAAATAAAAAGCATTAATAATAAAATATCATTAATGTTTTGGGGCTTAAAAAAGGACATACTTTAAGACTGAATTTGTACACATTGACAAAGTTATGTTGTTTTTGCCAGTTAAGATAATCAGCTTAATAAAATGGTATGACCTTTTTTCTTCCAATAACTATAGAAAGTATCCAAAATATAGAAGAAAAGGATAATACTCCCATAAAACTTGTTTTTTTATTTGTTCATTATTTTCTAGGATCCTCAAAACAATAGGATTTTTCAATGGCAAAATGTGACATCTTTTCGATATATTACCCAACTTTCATTCAAACTGATTTCAGAACCAATGCTTGGAGATTACTTAATTGTTGTGGAAAGAAAATCAGGAAAGATACTGACACACCAATTTACTGTTAAGAGATACGGTAACTTTGTAGTTGTAATTGGTAGTTGTCCCCTGTAAATAGAGCTTAAAGTACTGAACAACACAACTTTTATGTTAGACTTAGGCAAATGTGTTTTTTTGGTGATCTTCCTTTCTTGACTTTGTCTTCTTTATCATAAATACTTTCTTGCTCCTCACTTCTTCCCCTATATCCTTATTCTGATCCTTTCCTTTTTTTTTTTCCCCCTAGAAAATATCCCATTTTCTAGAATTCGGACAATCTTAGGAAAAAGCTGAGAGATTACAATAGAAAAAAAGTGAAATGCTGAGGCTAGGGAAGAAAAAAGAAGGAAAGAATTAATCATTAATGAGACACCATCACATAAGTGTGGTAGACTGCTGCCATACAGAATTTTAGGGCAATTGAAACATGGTCTGTTCAGACGTACATAAAGGGAAGACTTGTGTATGGGAGTACACTGAGTTACACAATGTAACTCTTTTTGCTCACCAGTGGTTGTAGGGGCTAAAGTATATTTCTGTTTGTTTCCAGAGCTGCCCAAGTTTGAAGTTACAATTAGTGTACCACAGACAGTAACCATTTCAGATGATGAATTCCAAGTAAATGCATGTGCTAAGTAAGTGTTTATTCAGGAGATTTGTTTTGCCTTCACAGGTAAACAAGAAACTCAGAGAGAATGAGAAATCAGATTAACCATGTAACTTTAATTATTTACATGCTTGCATTAATATGATTAGAGAAGTAATAAATTATCATTGTAAAATCTTTTTAAAATGTGGAGAAAAACATGAGGAATTACCTGTAATTAATTCTACCAACTGCCAGAAATATCGTGATTTATCTTCCCCTAATTTTTAATGAATATTTTCCATGACTGCAATCATACTTTTCCTTTTCACAGTAATTTTTAAAATATGTCGTCATAACATGCCAATGTTTTCATAAATTTCAGTTTTTTGGTATATAAACATATGTGGCTATACCAAATTGATTTAATTTTTGTCTTAATTCATAACATGTAGGCTGTACTATTTTGTTCCCTTAGTAATTAATAATTTCATAGTATATGTCTTGGCCTATAAATATATAATAAGTAGATTTTGAATTAAAAATTATCTACTTAAGAAAGATTACTATAAGTGGAATTACCAAGAAAAAATATGCAACTTTCTTTAGTTTTTTTATGCTATATTGCTCATGAATCGTGTTGTGCAAATGTGAAATTCCAGCAGCTGGTCTCAAAGTATCTGCCTTATTGAATCTTCACTTTTTTCATTAAATCTCCACTTTTTTCAGTACATAAAATAAGCTATCAGAATGTCATAATGAAGATAAGACATCTTATCAATTTAATTTGAATTAATTTGAATCCTCTTACTGTCAAAAATTTTTATATGATTTGAGAAATTTGTATTTTCTTTTTGGGAAATTATTTTTAGTGCCTTTTATCCTTTTTTAGTGTAACGTCTTTTCTCCAATTTCTAATAATAATAAAAAACAACTAATATTTTTTAGTGCCAATTAGTGTGTTAAGCATTACAATTCTATGAGAAAGGAGTTATTATTATCTCTATTTTATAAAGAAAGTTATATGGCACAGAGTATTGAAATAACTTATCAGTATTAATGGAGCTTTTTGATGGCAGAACTAAGATTTAGACTTAGGCTGTTTGGTTTCAGAGCTAATCTCCTAATCAATAACTGTCATACTTTATATAAAGTTAGAAATATTAATATTTGCCATACTTACTAAACATTTTTGAACTAATTGATGACATGAAAATTATCTGGTTTTGAATGTTTTCAGCAGTGTACTAAAGATACAGTGGGTAAAGTGCTGTCTAATCAGCATGTAGAGGTAGTTCTTAAGGATGTCCCAAAGAAACTTGGGAACCCATTTTGAGCTGGGTTTTGGGGGGAGGGTTAGTAATATTTAAAATCTCCTTTGGGTCCTAGAAAAATAGTCATAAAACTTTTCTGAGGTTCAATAAAGAGTAGTTGAACATGTGCCAAAATTTAATTATGTAATAGATGAGAAATTGTAGGCTATCAATGTTAAAATAAATGAGATAATATAAGTTTGGAGAAATCCAGGATCCTAAACTGGCCTCACTAGAACAACCCTACACAAAGTCAGGACTTTCAATAGCATTAGCACGTATAATTTATCTATCTGATCAACGATGTGCTAAAAAGGTGCAATACCTAGAAGGGAAAGTCGAAATGCTTCTCAAGCATGGTCTTTAAAAAAGACTTGCTAATCAAATGCCAGCAGGGAACTTGTTCTTTGATATTATGTTGGGTTATAACTCATTATTCTGACTTCTTGAAACTTCTTTAACATTATAATCTAGACAGACTTGACATTAAGTGATAAGTGAGGATCAGCTGTGATAATGCAACATGGCCAGGCAACTAGAGGGGAACTATGCTTGCTACAAAATTATCTCTGGGCAGGCTATGAGAGCACTCGTCTATAAGTTAATAACAATGAAGAACAAGTTGTATGATATGGTCTGAGTATTACATCTGTAGTATTTCCTGGGATTTGGCTTGGAATGGATTGAGAAACCAATGGTAAATTAGATAATCTTCGTAAACAATCTCAGAGATGAATTAGGTTTCTAAGAGGGAAGAAAATTTACCTATAGGCAAATACATTTTAATAAACGGCGTTAGTATCCTTCAAAAGCTTTTCAAATTACAAAGGGACAATGCTTATTCTGTCCTGTGTGAAGATTTAAGCTATAAGTCTCGTGAGTATACGTTAACCTATATGTGTAGATAACACTAAGTATAGATAACACTATGATAACAGTTTTATTTTATAAATAAAGGACGTTAATAAATAATAAGAAACGTTCAGGTATAACTTCTGTGACTGGATCATAGTCTGGCCTCTACTTGATAATCAGAACTGACCGGATGATTTTAAGCATTAGGATTGATTCAAAAACTCTGAAGCATTAAGAATTTTTAAACCTCTCGTGACTTCAGACCTGCCTGGCTGTCAAAGTCGCCAAGGACACGGGTCACTCCTGCCTTACACCAACTCCACCAGGACCGCAGGGGAAGGAGAACTCAGTTGTGCCTGTGCTTCAAATAAAGCTATGTCTCTAATTTTTTAAAAAAGAATTTTTAAGAAACAAAAAAGTAAAACATGGAATACAAAGTGCACAAACTGTAGCCTGAGGCAGATCTGAATATGAATTTCAGTTTCATCAATTACAATATGAAAAATGAGTTAGTTGATCTCAATTTACTAACTAGGGTCACTAAGAAAAATAAATGAACTAATGTATGTAAACACTTCATATATATCAGTTCGACAAATAGAAAAAAATGTTTTATAATCTATAAATTTAATAATACTCAGTTTTATTATATACCAGTTTTACGTTTGTTATCTGTTTTTCTAAATATCAGTAGAAAGTATCCTCAAGTAACAAAATAAAAACTTGAATTGACTGGATTGGATTTTGGTTGAAACTTTTTAAAAAACTTGTATTGCGGTATTTTTGTGTGTCTCTTAGGAGAAAATAAGACACTTAACCCCTTGACTTTTGGTCAAAGCATAACTAGTTTACTTTATGCCAACCCCATTTAAAATGTTGATCTGAAAATATTTCAAGATCCTGAATCATCCAAGAATGATTTATTTACGTATATATTTTCTACTAAAGAATACCGCAGCCAACTTTTATATTTCTGTCAAATTAAAATATAAAACGTGCCTTTTATAGCTTTTGATACCAAGAAGATGTTTAATAGATGGTAGATGTTGGTGATGTTTTGTTTTGTTTTTTTGCTACCTCCTTATTATGTTATTAAAATAGTTTTAAGGAAATAAAAATATATATATAAATTTTATAAACTCAATTTAATTATAAAATTGTATTCTGTGAGATTTTAGATTATTTTAGATTCTACATCACCTTGAATTTGAGTTTTAAAAAGGCAGTCAAATTTTCCTTACAGAGCAAATGTCCAATTTAACCTAAAATCTATGAGGAATCCAAAGAGAATTCCTAAATGAAACTGGTTAATCTGGGTTACTCATAGTTTAGAGATTTCACACATAATTTCCAAAGAGGAACATAAGATATTGCTATGATATTATTTACCTATAACTGCAAGTACACCTTCTCCCATTAGGTATACGTATGGCCAACCTGTACAAGGAAAAACCCAAATCCGAGTGTGCAGAGAATTTTTTACTTCAAGCAATTGTGAGAACAACAATGAAATATGTGAGCAATTTGTTGCAGAGGTACAGACCATAATTTTTACTCCAAACAAAAGTTTTCGCTTATTTTTTATTCCTATTCATCTTTGATTTTATTTATGAAAGGTGCTTAACAGTACTATTCTTATTTTGTGTATAGTGGAGGTTGTAGCTAACTAAGGTAAAGAATGAGAAAATACAGTGCTTAGGGAGAGTCTCTTTTTCTTTAGGCCATGTGAATTGTTATCCACCTAGATATTTTAAGAATTTTTAGAATTTCAATGTCTTGGTGTCTTCCCTGATTTTTCTTTACAGAATCATTAGTTATCCTTTAAATAAATGAGCCCGTGATATTACCACACAACATAGAATCGTTCTCATGAAAACAGAATAGATGTTCTTCTTTGCAGGCATCTGCAATTCAGAGCATCCTCATTTATTGCTCCAGATTTATAGTTACAGTGAAGCCACCATTTGTTTTCTCCATCAATAGCATTTTAACCTTAAGTGAACAACTTTACCTATCCTTCTGAGGATTGCAAGACTTCTTTTTTAAAAATGCTTAATTTTTTCTAAAATTATTATTATTATTTTTTTTTTTGAGTTGGAGTCTCACTATGTCGCCCAGACTGGAGGAGGGCAGCGGCCACTCCCGGCCACCGCAGCCTTGACCTACTGGACTCCGGCGATCCTTCCGCCTCAGTCTTCCAAGTAGCGGGAATTACTGGCATGCGCTACCACGCCCGGCTGATTTTTTGATTTACTGTAGAGATGAGGTCTCGCCAAGTTACCCAAGCGGGTCTCGAACCTGCAGGCTCAGGCAATCCACTCACTTCAGCCTCCCAAAGGCGCGGGATTATAGGCTGAGCCACCGAGCCCGGCTAAAATTCTTAAAGTTAATCTGTGATTATGTTCTAAAATTAAAAATGTTTTCTTCCAGATATATACTGAGTTGTGTCAGCACCTATCTTAAACAATTTTATTCTTTTTATTCAAGATCATGCTTATAAAAGGTTCATGCTTCATCCTTATTTTTATTATTTTCTTTCCTGTATTTTTTGTTTTTCTAAATCATTTCTTTTAGCTTTCATCTTATTAATTCCTTTTTCTAATATTTTAATTGATTTTGTTGGATTTTTTAAAATATATGTTAGCTGTTTCTTTCAGTAATAAACACATTTCTTACTTCACATTTTTCTTTTACTACAGTCTTATGCCATTGATTTTGATGAAAAGCATTTTTTTCCTTTACCCTAATATCTAGATTCTTATTGACTTACCTTATATTTTTTCTTTGATACAAGGATTACTGAAAATATTTTTTTTCTCAATTTCAAAGCAATTAAGGTTCTTCTGGTCACTTTTTGTTATTTCATTTGAATTTGACTATATTATAATTAGGCAAAGTAAAGTAGCTTTTTCTGTAGTTGTTGATGCAATAGCTGATGGTTTGAGGAGCAATACTTTAGAACTAGAATCCCTAGTTAGCTCCATTGTCTTTTAGCTTTTTGACCTTGAACATGCTATAAAATGTACCTGTTTCAGTTTATTCATCTATATAATGAGGATAATTATAGTGCTCAGCTCTTAAGAGAGTCTTGAGGATCAAATAAATTGATATAACCTCCTAACAATTTTAATGTAAATAAGCACTTTTCATTATAAAATATAACTAAATCCATATTTCTGTAATTATTGATATTACTGATGAAAGATTACCTATAGATTTTTCTTATTCTAGTGAGCACTTTACCTCAAAAAGTGTTTGTTTTGATGTTACACATTTGATGAGTTATTCTGTTCCATTTGTTTTTAGTGCCTTTCAAGATAATGATAAATTCTTACTATTAAAATATCATTCAGCTTCATTTCATCCTTTTATCTCTTTCTGTCTACAATGTTTCCAGAAGAATTTCCTTGAAATCTAAAATATAGGTTACCTTCCTACCTTGTTTGAAATGCTGATGCAAATATTTTCCTCCTCCTTCTTGTCTTCCTTCTTTAATTCTTTGGTCATATCAAGTTTATGGGGTGAAACCATAGGGGGAGTGCTGTTATATATCTATGCTAAAATTATGTACCTTAAAGATATATTTTTAAAACTCTTGGATCCCTAATTTTTTCATCACGTTTTCTTTTATTTTTCAGTTGAAAAGTGGTTGTATTTCTCAAATAGTAAATACAAAAGTCTTCCAACTCTATCGTTCTGGATTTTTCATGACATTTCATGTCACTGTAATTGTTACAGAATTTGGGACAGGTAATGATTGTATTTAATGGACGATCAGGGAATATATGGCAGCTTATTTGCATTGGCAAGTGCAAAAATTATTAGTGAGACATTTACAAGATTGTACATAGTGAGTATGCAATAAATATTTGTTAGAATTTTAAAAGGGTAACTCAAACTTAATAATTTAATTTAGGGTGGGGAAACCAGATTTAATTACTAATTATTTCTTGTAACTTAGAAAAGTGTATGGAATTAATTTATGCAGTGCTTTATATAAATATATTTGATCAATATTTTGGTGATATTAACAATGGGTAAATTTGTCACAATTATATTGTTGTTAATAGTAAGTTAGCTAGGTACGTTTTCCTCTGTTTAATCACTTGCTTTGGCATTTTTATTTACTGTACTCTCAGATATTTTTCAAATATGGTAAAATTCAAAATGCATAGTTATCTTGCAGGTGCGAAAAAGATTTCAGAAAGTGAAAGCCTTATATCTGAGATGTCTATGATATTCCCCATCTGTCTACAAGCCAGAACTAAATAGACAAGCAGGAGGATGAAACATAAGTGTTTTGTCTCCTGCTTCTGATTAAAACATTTTCATATTAATTTTATTATTCAAGTTCATGTATATGATAATCACATAATGCATAGTGTGCTGGAACATATTTCAAAGCATCCACTCCTCTCTTTCAATATAAAGCGAGAATATAATTCTGTGTATAGAAAGTTCTTACATGTGACCTAAGCTATTTGTTCTTTTGAATTTTTTGATCAATTAAATTCTCCCTCACATTGTGTTAATTATTTCTTACAGGTGTACAGATGAGTGAAAAGAGTTTGATTTTTATCACTCAATTGCTTGGAAGTGTGACTTTTGAGAACATGGACCCTTTCTACAGAAGAGGGCTTTCTTATTTTGGAACTGTAAGTTTAATCGATATCTGCCTGGGGAAGGGGGACACACATCATTGATAAGGGTACCTACACAGCCAATATTGGTATACCTAGCCCTGAATTGTACCCCACAATTTTAAATAAACATTAAAAGAGGAAAAAAAGTACACATTCTCATTTCATTTTCTTAGGTCACAGTTTTTTCCCTTTGCAAATTTCTGGTCACTTTTTTCTCCTTTCATAATACATTTATGGCATTACTGTGTCTGATACACTAGAAAAAGTCATAGTCTGAAAGAAAGCAATAGATAAAATTATAGCTGTTTCTATATTGTATATACTCTCTCTATATATATATATATAAATATATATATTTATATACACACACACACTTATATTTAATAGAGTATCTTGCTGCCTATTGGAATTTTTAAAAATTATAGGTAAATGATCACATTTATGAATAAAAATGTACTCTGTAAAAATGTAAAAATTTTATATTTTAAGTTGTATTGACTCTTATTTTTTTGTACAGCTTAAATTTTCTGGTCCCAACAATGTACCTATGGTGAGCAAGTTGTTGCAACTGGAGCTCAATAATAAATTTATAGGAAATTACACCACAGATAAAAATGGTGAAGCTCAGTTTTCTATTGACACTTCAGACATACTTGATCCAGAGTTCAGCCTGAAGGTAAGATATCAAAGATTAGATGAAGACTGATATCTCACGGAGGATTTCGGTGTTAGAAATTTTGAACATGCTTGTATACATGTTTAAATCCATGTTAACCCTGAATTGTACCTCACATTTTTAAAACACAATTTTTTAACAAAAGAAATTTTAAACATTAGGAATCTCTTTAAAATATAACTTGATTGAAAATGTTTTAATAAAGTTTCAAATTTTAGTTTATTTCACATGATTTGCTTGTTCATTAAATGGTATATAAGACACACGTTCAAGAGGAAGACAAGCTAATAGTCTATTACAATTGTTAGAAAATCTCTAATAATTAGAATTATTATCTGACAAACTATAAACATCTTGAGGGTAGTTTTACTTTCTTTCTTCGACCATTTCATACATAGGTAGGGGGATAATATGATTTCTTTTGTTCCTGCTGCTTAAACAGAATTTTGCAGTTAAATAAATTTCTCAGTATTTAAATGTAGCTGAAAGAAACAAGGCTTAAGCCCAATTCTCTGACTTCAGTTATAGAGTAAAAACAAAACAATTCTTTATCAACCTAATGAAGTATCTTTAGGCTTTAACCCCTTTCACTTTCTTTTGTCATATTAGGCTACATATATCCGACCTAAGAGCTGCTATCTTCCCAGCTGGTTGACGCCTGAGTATGCAGATGCTCATTTCTCAGTCTCACGCTTTTACTCCCGAACCAACAGCTTTCTGAAGATTGTTCCTGAACCAAAGCAGCTTAGATGTAATCAACAGAAGATAGTCACTGTGCATTACTCTCTAAACAGTGAAGCATATAAGGATGACTCAAATGTAAACTTCTTCTATTTGGTGAGTCTTAGCTAGTGGATTCTTGGAATCCTGTCTAATCGCAAGTCTGTTCAGCACAATATAGCTCAATACATCAGTCATGTCATGGTCATCTGAGTGCCTAGGGTAAGTATTAAGTGTCAGACATTGTTATAAGGGTTTTATAAGCTAACTTGTTTAAGCAGTCTTATGATTATCTTCATTTTGCAGATAAAGGAACAAGTCAAAAATGCTAAACAACTTAAGCCACAAAGTTAATGAGTAATGAAGACATATTAGAAGTCAGACAGTCGAGACAATTTCAGAGCTTTATGTGTCTATCACCTTGCACCGTGCATTGCACATTGTTCACAAAATTTCTAGTATAGAATAGGCTCTCAATTGATTATAGTCATTTTCTCTGCTCTTTTCCAACTTATGCAAATCCATTTTTAATATTGTTTGTGGAAGCTGCCTTATCTTGCGGAGTAGAATTATTATCAGACAATTCATTACCTAATGATTATTGTACTGATAATATGATGTGATATTAGATAATATGTATTGTGTTTTTTGTTGTTGTTGACCTACACAGATGATGGTTAAAGGAGCTATCTTCCTCAGTGGACAAAAGGAAATCAGAAACAAAGGTATATATATATATTACATTCTTTTTTTAATTATGTACTCTACCTTCATTTTTTTTTTCTTTTTAAGAAAATATAGTGATAGAGTCAAAAAGTTAGGAAGAGCTCTTATTTCAATCTGTAGATGAAGGATAATAGCATGGCCCAAGATAAGCTACTACATATTTTGATAAAGGAGGTTTCAATCTACTTCTATTATCGCCAAGTTATCAAAATACATTACAGAAAAGTGATATCCCAAATCCCAGAATCGTTATCACCTAAATTACACAGTATTCTTTATTTGTATAGGTACTTCCCATTATTTAATTTACTTGCCTTTAAAACAAAGCCCACTTTACTCTTTCTATTTATGAGCTTTATTCTCTTTTATCTATCTAAGTGTACCCAGTGATCCAGGAAACTTTTGGCATTGTATCTGTTGATTTCCTATTTACCCAGCCTGGAATGGAAACTTCTCATTCCCAATCAACATCAGTGCTGATCTGGCTCCTGTGGCCGTCATGTTTGTCTACACCCTTCACCCCAGTGGGGAAATTGTGGCTGACAGTGTCAGATTCCAGGTTGACAAGTGCTTTAAAAACAAGGTGATGTTTCTTCTCTGTCTGATCTGTCCAAAGTGAAAAGTATGAACAGTTTGCTTCCTGTTGTATTCTTCTTATCTGACTCCTTTAACCTTTACATAGTTTAGTGTTGGTATAATTACATTATTAGAGTATGACAGAATCACCACACAGAATGCATACTCTGGTAGCAGTGTAGCAGTACTAATGCTGAGATGACAGGAGGGTAGTTAAGGGGATGTCCCCACCAAGAGAGTTGAGAATGAGAGTGAGCAGGAGAAATATAGGTATAGGAATCCATAAGGATTTATTTAAATAAGACTGAATTATTAAAATTATCTTCAGATGAAATTATTTCTACTCTCATTCCTTTTCTCTCTCTATTTCAGGTTAGCATAAAGTTCTCAAAGGACCAGGGACTACCTGGCTCCAATGCTAGTCTCTATCTTCAAGCGGCTCCTGAATCATTCTGTGCCCTCCAGGCTGTGGATAAAAGTGTCCTTCTACTGAAATCGGAACAACAGCTGTCAGCTGAAAGTGTAAGCTCTCTGATTTCCTCACGTTCCTCATTTTTAGGGGCCTCCCATAGTCTTAATCTTCAGATAATGTTTTCATTTGAGATGGAACACGTTAACAATATTAAATTTCTTCTTCCTTTGTTCCATCATGGGATACTTACTTAATTGTCTTGATGACACAAGAGAACTTATCATAATATGTAATTCTATAGATAATTACAACAGGTTAGGAATTTTACAACACTGTGATTTTTTGTAAAACTGTAGATATAATCTTAGAAGTAAAAACCTAGAATTAAAAATAAATCTCTATGATCAAGGATATGCTTGGATTCAGTTTAAAGTTATTATCTATCAATGGATCTTATTTTTTTAAAACATTCCCAGACCAGAAATTAGAGAGGGTCACATAAAAATGATTTCAGCTAACAATTGTTGGAAATTTCCCTTTATTTTTAACACAAATACATGTATATAACTATTGGAATTTATGATCATATTTAAGTCTAATCTAATAATTGTTTCTGGTTTTTAAGATTATGCTAATGTATTGTAGAAAACACACAAAAGCATAAGAAAAAAATCTTTTTATTTATTCATTTAATTTTAATTTCAAAATTCATGGTGTATACATGTACATTTGCTACATGAACATATTGTATAATAGTGGGGATTGGGTCTCAGGTGGCCTGTTCCCCAGATCGTGAACTTTGTGCCTCACAGGCAGTTCCTGAACTCTAACACCTCATTGGTGTCTCCAGTGTTGATTATTTCTATCTTTGTGACCACTTAGCTCCCACATATGTGTGCTATTTGGTTTTCTGTTTCTTAGTCAGTTGACTTAGGATGATGATCTCCGGCTCCAACCCATATTGCTGTAAAGGACATCATTTCATTCTTTTTATGATTGCGTAGTATACCACATTTTCATTATCCATTGATTGGTTGATGGGCATTTAGGTTGATTTGCAATTGTGAATTGTGCTAGAGTGAACATGCAGGTGCAGGTGTCTTTGTCACATAATGATCTCTGTCCCCTAGGGTAGATACATAGTAGTGGGATTGCTGGATCAAATGGTGTACCTACTTTTAGTTATTTGAGTAATCTCCACACCACTTTTCATAGAGCTTGTACTAACTTGCACTCTCACCAACAATGTGTAAGTGTTCCCTTTTCTCCACAACCATGTCAGAATCTTTTTTAAAAATTTTTAATAATGGTCATTTTTACGGTATGAGATGGTATCCTATTGTGGTTTTAATTTACATTTCCCTGATGATGAATCATGTTGAGAATTTTTTATGTGTTTGAGGGCCATTTGTATATCTTCTTTTGAAAGATATCTATTCATGGCATTTGCCCACTTTTCAATGAAGTCTTTTGCTTTTTTCTTGCTAATTTCTTTGAATTATTTATAGATTCTGAATATTAGTCAGAATGTATAGTTTGTGAATATCTTCTCCCATTCTGTTGTCTGTTTGCTCTGTTGATTATATCTTTTGTTGTGCCGAAGATTTTATTTTAATTAAGTCCCACTTATTTATTTTTGTTTTAGTAGCATTTGCTTTTGGGATTTTAGCCATAAATTCTTTGCCTAGGCTGATGTCCATAAAAGTTTTTCCTAGGTCTTCTTCTAGGATATTTGTGATTCCAGGTCTGACATTTAAGATTTCAATCCGTCTTGAGTTAATTTTTATATATAGGGAGAGATGGGGATCAAGTTTCATTTTTCTCCAGGTAGCTATCCAACTTTCTCAGCACCATTTGCTGAATACATAGTTCCTTTCCCAGTGTATGTTTTTGTCTGCTTTGTCAAAGATCAATTGGTTGTAGGTATTTGAGTTTATTTCTAGATACTCTATCTGTTCCATTGGTCGATGTATCTGCTCTTGTACCAGTACCATATTGTTTTGATTATTACAGCCATGTGGTATAATTTGAAGTCAGGTGATATGATGCCTCCAGCTTTGCTCTTTTGCTTAGGATTGCTTTGGCAATTCTGGCTCTTTTTTTGGTTCTATGTGAATTTTAGGATTATTTCTTTCAATTCTGTGAAAAATGACATTGGTTGTTTGATAGGAACCGCTTTGAATCAATAGGTTACTTTGGGTAATATGGTAATTTTTATAATGCTGATTCTTCCAATCCATGAGCATGGGATGTTTGTGTCCTCTGCAATTTCTTTCATCAGAGTTGCATCTGTTTGTGTCCTCTGCAATTTCTTTCATCAGAGTTTCATAGTTCTCATTGTAGAGATCTTTCACTTCCTTGGTTAAATATATTCCTAGGTATTTTAGCTTTTTGGTTACTATTGTAAATGGAATTGAGTTCTTGATTTAATTCTCAGCTTGGTCGCTATTGGTGCATAGCAGTGTTACTGATTTGTGTGTGCTGATTTTTGTATCCTATAACTTTACCAAATTCATTTATCAAGTTAAGCAGTCTTTTGAAGGAGTCTTTGGGGTTCTCTGGGTATAAGATCATATTATTGGCATACAGAGATCGTTTGATTTCTTCTTTTCCAATTCAGATACACTTTATTTCTTTTTCTTGCCTTATTGTTTTGTCTAAGACTTTCCATACGTTGTTGAATAGTAACAAAAGTGGGCATCCTTTCCTTGTTCCAGTTCTGAGGGAAAATGTATTCAAGTTTTCTCAGTTCAGGATGACATATTTTGACTGTGGGTTTGTTGTGTATAGCTTTTATTATTTTGAGGATTGTTCCCTTGATGCCTACTTTACTGAGGATTTTTTATCATGAAGGGATGCTGGATTTTATCAGATGATTTTTCTGCATCTATTAAAATGATCATACTTTTTTTGTTTCTAATTCTGTTTACTTAGTGGAACATGTTTATTGACTTGCATATATGTTGAACCACCCTTGCTTCCCTGGGATAAAACCCATTTAGTTGTGGGATATTATTTTTTTAATGTGTTGTTGAATTTAGCTTGCTAATATTTTGTTGAGGATTTTATGGCTGTGTTCATAAGGGGTATTGGTTTGTAGTTTTCTTTTTTTATTATCTCTTTTCCTGGCTTTGATATCAGAGTGATTCTGGCCTCCCAAAATAAGATAGGGAGATTCCTTCCTCTTCAATCTTGTGAAATAGCTTCAATAAAATTGGTACCAATTCTTCTTTGAAGGTCTGTAGAATTCAGTTGAGAATTCATCAGTCCTGCACTTTTATTGGTTGGGAGACTTCTAATTACTGTTTCAATCTTGCTATTCTTAATTGGACTGTTCAGGGTTTCTACTTCTTCCTGATTCAAGGCTGGGGTGTTGTATGTTTCCAAAAATGTATCCATTTTCTCTAGATTGCCTAGTTTTTTGCATAGAGGTGTTCATAATAGTCTTGGACAACCTTTTGAATTTCCTTCCCATCAATTGTAATGTCTCCTTTTTCATTTCTGATTGAGCTAATTTGAATCTTCTCTCTTTATTTCTTTATTAATCTAGCTAGTAGTCTATCAATTTTACGTTTTCTTTTTGAAGAACAAACTTTTTGTCTCATTGATCCTTTGTACTTTTTTAAAAAATTCAATTTCATTTAGTTCTGCTCTGATAGTCATTATTTCTTTTCTGCTAGCTTCAGGTTTGGTTTGTTTGTGTTTCTTTGAGCTGTAATGTTAGGTTATCGATATGCGATCTTTCAGTCTCATTAATGGAGGCCTTAAGCACTATAAATTCTCCTCTGAGCACAGCTTTGACTGTATCTCGGAGGTTTTAATAACTTGTTTCATTGTTATCATTCATTTTAAGGATTTTTTAAATTTCCATCTTGATTTCCTTGTTGACCCAAAGGTTATTCAGGATGAAATTGTTTAACTTCCATACCTTTTTTTGATTCTGTGAGTTCTTCTTGGAGTTAATTTCTAGTTTTAATTCACTGTGGTCCAAAATAGTGTTTTATATAATTTTGATTTTTTTGAATTTGTGGAGACTTGATTGTGGTCTATTGTATGGTCTATCTTGGAGAATGTTCCATATGTTGATGAGAAAATTGTGTGTTCTATTGTTTTGGAATGGAATGTTCTGTAGATGCCTGTTAGCTCCACTTCCTCTAGAGTCTTATTTAACTCCAATGTTTCTCTGTTGATTTTCGATGGTGTATCTACTGCTGTCAGTGGAATGTTGAAGTCACCCACTATTAGTTTATTGCTGTCTGTCTCTCTCTTTTTTTTTTTTTTTAGGTCTAATACAACTTATTTTATAAAACTGGGAGCTCTAGTGTTAGGCACATATATATTTAAAGTTGTTATGTCTTCTCACTGGATTGATCACTTTATCATTATAAAATAGACATCATTGTCTTCTTTTACTGTTGTTAATTTAAAGTCTGCTTTATCTGATATAAGAATGGCTACTTCTGCTTGTATTTGGTTTCCATTTGCATGGAATATTTTCCCCCACCCCTTTACCTTGAGCTACAGGAGTCTTTGTGAGTTAAGTGGGTCTCTTGAAGGCAGCAAAAATAAATCTTTAAAATCACTCAAAATAATAACACTTAGACATGCTTATATTTTGTTATTTTAAAAATATATTTTTTGAAAGTATTACTATTTTATAAACTTGAGACCTCACTGAAAAATACAGTTTGTATTCTGCTTTCAACAGTCTACAGTAAATCTAGTTAAGTGATGGAACTTCTGGTTAGCAGCTTTCAGAATTTTGAGAAGCATCAACAAATAAAAGACAAATTAATCCATAAATATTGAGTAAATATACCCAAATGTAATAGCATTTTATGCCTCAAAAATATTGAGTATGTATATGTATAATTTTTTACCTAAGAGTTTCATGAATCCAAAGTAAATACCTTCTACTCAGCCTTTCTACAATTAGAGATAGCAAGATCTTAGGAAAACTGCCTCAAGGAAAAGTCATCAAGGAATCTCAAAAATAAATTCTAGAGACATTTTCAGAAGTCTCATATATCAGAAACAAAAGTGTTGCCTTTGTTTATTATTGATAGTTTTATTAATAGTATGAGTCAAGTGAAGTTATACACCAAGGGAG